AAAGAGAGAGAGAGAGGTAGAGTCTATTTATAGATTTTATGAGTGTCATCATCCGTAAATATTGCATAGTTCTAGACCAAATCATTGGACAGTCGAGAGTGATTCCTTTGATTAGATATAATTTTATGAGTATTTGAATGTTTTAATGTTGTCGAAATTAGAGGATCTTGGCTCATTAGATTTGTCTCGTCGATTTAACTATGAACTTGACAAATTTAGAGATCACCTGATTTCTCAAAATTTGTTCCAAAACTTTTCGTTACATTTTAAGTGTATAATCATGGATCGCTTTTTACATTATTTCGTTTGTTTCACTTAGACATTTCACTTGATTGTAAATTAAAGTGTGGACATTTTAAAATTTAATTTTTGAAGCTTTTGATTAAATATATGTTGAGATTCATGCTGATTAATATGATTTTGTAGGGACCTATCACTATCCAAAAAAAATTTTAAATACTAATTAAATATGGAAATTTTGTTTTACTTTTTCATTAACAGTTTGATTTAATTTTGTTGGCTAATTCAGGTATAAAGTATATATAGAAGGAAGAGCTTGGTCGGTGAGTGAGAAGTACATCTTAGGTTGCGACTCACCGACGCTCTATGTGCAGAGTCGGTTTCAAGATTTCGTAAGTCGTGGGCTCAGGCCGGGCCTCCACTACTGGCCCATTCCACAGAACGACAAGTGTCGGGCTATTAAACAGGCCGTTGAGTGGGGCAACTCCCATCCCGCAGAGGTCTGCTACCTCATCTTGAAAATTTTATTTATTTCTTCTGTTGTGTCGTCTTTTTTTCCCTGAAATATTTTAATCTTATATATATATTATATAAGCTAATAAGAAAAATAAAAAAATTGATATTAAAAATGAACAGATACAGGCGATGGGGAAAAGAGGAAGTAGCTTCATCCATGAAAGCCTTCACATGAACTATGTATACGATTACATGCTTCATCTTCTCACTGAATACTCAAAGCTCCTAACTTTCAAGCCCACAAAACCAGAAGACGCCATGGATCTCTGCTTGGAGTCTGAGGCCTGTCCCTCTCATGGAAAGGTTCGAGAATTCCTCATGGAATCCATGGCGGCGGAACCCATCTCTAATGACTCAGAGCCCTGTAATCTGCCTTCTGGTTTTCAGCCTTCGGAGCTCAAACAACTTCTCATGGAGAAGACCACTGATGGGACGAAGATGGTGGTGGAAAGTATGATTAGGAGGAGCCATGGAGGGAAGAGGTTATCAGGTAGTGGTTTTGGGATACGTGGCGTTTTTATTTTTATTTTTATTTATTTAAGTTTTTTTTATTAAAATTATAATGATGTATTTAACAGTGTTTAGGTTTTTATAGTTTTTATAAAATAATTAAGCGAATATAATAAATTGGGAAATATCTTATCAATCATTTTTAAAATCCTTTAATTGCATGCCTTTCGTTTAATATCCAACTTATTTTATTTTATTTTTGTAATTTTAAGTAAATTCATATGTACAAAAATATTAATTGAAGTTATATTGTCGCTTTCAAGGAAAGTATTGCTTCCACGAACTAGAGTAATTATTAGCATTATGAATAAGTTGGGCAAATGACAGTGCTTTATCGGTGGGATTAAAGTTTAAATATTGTAATAATTTTTTAAATGGGATGATAAAGACTACTTGTCACATTTACATGTGAAATTTTCTTCTTAAAAATTTCAGCATTGAGTGATACATTTGATTTAAGTATTTCTTTCTCAAGAACTAAAAACTTCACGGTACTTATTATCTAACACACACACACACACACACATATCCATTGAGGTGTAAAGGAGTTGAATTTGAGTGAGTCAAGTGTGTATGTATTAGGGTCATGAATAATATGTCCATGTTCGACTCTTCGAATTCGTTTGTTCGTTTGATCAAGTATTCAACTCACTTTCTTAATGAATAAATCGAATATGAGCAACTTCGCAGACCTAATATGAACTATTCGTGAAATTTTTTTTTTTTTTGACAGTCATATTGATCTCTAATTTTTTTAAAAAATATGAATTTGATACAATTGTTCCTGTTTAATTTCCAAAAATTATATACCAACAACTAAAAATAGTCAATATAATATTTTAACAAACCAAACTTTAAATATTAAATTTTACTGGCTTTTTTCATCACAACTACCCTTCTTTACCCGCTAGTGAAAACTTTGAGTGAACGTTTTGTGGAGTTAAAATCTTATATTTAAATTTTGGGCGTTTAAAATTTGATATTCAATATTTTGAGTGATTGTTATGTAAAAGCCCCAATTAAAAAAAAACATAACTTAATAAATAAATAAAATTGATTTCCACTTGACTAACATGTCAACGGTTGCATAACATCCTAATTGTCGCTCTCCACACAATTTGGGAGCACATTGTATATTAACATTTGAAAAAGATATTTGATTAAGAGCATTGGTCACTTGAGCAACAATAGGATCACGACAAGCTTTAGTTTTCAAAATTATTGTCTTGTTCATATTGGTATAATTGTACTGATTTTAATATCCTTACATTTTTTATGAGCTTGTTGGTAATCTTATTGATATGATAATTGTTGTTTTCTAAAGCATATATGATGGAAGAATAGCTCGTTGTTTGAGCACTATGCGAAAATTTAGCAAGTATAAATAAATGACCCACACTAGCGAAAACAAATTTTATATGAAAGGTCTTGAAAGTGAATAATTATGGGGCTTGGTTTATTTCAAAGATTCTAGAGATCCATTCCTTAAAAAAGGATGGACTAAAAATTCTAAATTGCTCGGGTTGCCTTCTATGATGGCCGTAGAATGTATTTGAAGTTGGTAGATTGGAATAGGTAGATGGTAAGAGACAGCTGAAGTCTTCATTCTAAACTATCAAGTGTCAAATAGGTAGATGGTAAGAGACAGCTGAAGTCTTCATTTGTCAAAGATGGGCTAGCAAAAATGTGTTATAGAAACTATCAAGTGTCAATCCATAGTTGACAGGAGACGATTGATGCTTGTGCTAAACGATTTTGTTATGATTAAAAATCAATATTAAACATTTCATGTGGGTTGACAATTGATAAATAGCAGGGGAATTTAACATGAGCATCATAGTAGTTGTCCGTCGGCCAATAATAAAAGAACTATGATGGACACAGCCATAGAATTCTTCATGAATCTCCAAATTTTCTTTCCTAGAAAACCCCTTTTTAATGTGCAGAAATGTGATAAATAGATTTTTCTTTTGGTGTTTTATGTTAATCATTTGTATAGAAATTTTGGACATTCCACAAAACAATTTAAAAAGCTTCTCTCACTTGCTTGATATTTATTGAATGTCTCAGTTCCTTAATGATCTTAAACTGAGCAATCTAAGCTTTGTTGAATTTGTCTCATCAAGGCATTTGAGTCTGTTATTGGCACACAAAAGTTCAAGGGCTTTTGATCCATTAAATAGTAGTGAGTAGTTTTTATTAGCGTTTATGCACGCTTTATTTAAGCTCATTTGAACTCACATCTTGCCAGTTTTTTAAGCATAATTCTAAAGCATAATTCTAAAGAATTTATATATAAATACTTGGGTGATTTAAGAACTAAAAAATTAATTAAGAAAAAATATAATTGATTCTTGGAATTGATGTATTTGAGAGTAAATCTTTAGTTCTCGAAGCACTAAAGTATTTTTTACTTAAAAAAAACAAGTGCATCACATGTCATTTGATATGTATGATAGTCTTATATATAGTTAACCATAATGGGTGCATAAACCATTATACAGTTCAATAGCGAGCAACATGAAAGTCATTGGATTGGAATGTGTTTTGCAATATATATTAAGAGGGGAGAAGACTCTCAGTAGCTCAAAGTAGGAGCACACTCGGATCTGTCCCCTTTGGAAGCTCTTCTTAGTCTAGAATAGAGAGCTCGTAATGAAAAGCATCACAAGGATGCCATTAACAAGGGGTGTTTTAGAAGAATTAATGTGCATATGTTGAACAAATATTTTCAGATGTGATAATGGGAATAAGAGTAACCACAAATTTTATAGGTAGAATTAATGTGCATATGTTGAACAAATATTTTCAGGTGTGATAATGGGAATAAGAGCAACCACAAATGCGAGGGTACCATAGTAGTTGAAAATAATACCAATTTAAGGGACTTGTTTCAACTTGTACGAGCTCATTTTTGGGAAATCATCTTGAATGGATTATTGATGATTCTCCTTTAAAGTGATTCTCAAGTGCCACACTTAAGGAACTTTTTTGTAGAACCCATTGAAATCTTCTCATAAGAAATCTTTCAAGAGAGTCATCTAACATCATCATAATTTGTTATTATTTGCGCTTGGCATGAATCCATATTTTTTTTGTCTTATCACACATAAAAAAAAAAAAGACTATTAGTACACTTTTATCTTCATCAATGCTATGTTAGTTTCCCATCAAAGCTATTTATGGATTTTGAGAGCGACTATAATATTGCTAGTTCTTGGCCCCAGACGAAGAATCTAAAGGGTGTCAATGAGATAGTTGGAGTTGCTAAATTCTTCCCTTGAGTCGGATTGTGGTGAGAGACAAAACAATGCCTCTGCATAACCCGATCAGCGTTGGTCATTGGTTTGGATGGCCTGCATTCGGTCGGCCTCTAGCCAGGGTTCGAGGAGGGGATGGAGGAGTGATAGATCTGGTCATTTAGATTCTTTGGTATTCTGCTAATGAACCCTTATTCCTCTGCTAATGGGCCCTTAAACTTTTGCTAGGAGGTCCTTGGTCTTCTACTGGTGGGCACTTGGTCTAGTGTTGGTGGGCTCTTGGTCTTCCATCTTTGGGGCCCGTCGTAGTTGAACTCTTTTGTCTTTTTAACCCCTGGATATCCTCAAGATTTGTGCAGACGCATTTACCATGTACACAAGCAAATAAATTAATGACGTTGAGAGAAAATTATTAAAATTTAAATTTAAATCTTTGAGCATGTTGAAATTAGATTTATCCTTGAATCACTCATAAGGAGTAGAGCATTTGGAAGGAGAACAAGGGTCAAAACTATGTAGCTGAGTATGACAAGGCAGATAAGAGGGGATTTTTCATTAGCTCCATGGAGTGAGAAATCGGAATCTGATTTACCTTTAGTATCCCTTATTTATAAGGATTTGTCCTTCATAAAATTGAGTACTTAGACCTACATCACTCACACACCTTTGGACGCATATTTTGGGTTCGACCATCCTCTTATGAATTAAAGCACTCGGCTAGTTTCTGTTAAAGATAGTCACTTATGGTCCTAATGGATGGGTAGAGAGTTGTCGATTGGATTAGCTTTTTTTGATCAAACATATAGAGTTGATTTAAATTTTTGCTGATATATGTTTTTTACTTACCAATAACAGTGATTACTTTATAACTATGACTTCCAGTCAAGTATCTTGACTTCCAGAGATTCCACAAAACAGACATATTATTGCAATACAAAAAAGATTAGGTACGAATACTTACATAGAATCAACGAAGACTGTGTAATATATAATTATCCCTAATATCTATAATCGAGACAAATTAAGATTGGACCACTTACCTTTTCCACTTTCGTCTCATTCAACGAAACAAACGGCATGAGCCACATACTATTTAAAATAAGCTGACGCTTGGCTGAAAGAGGCTTAAGCCCCAACTTCGGTGGCTTTCCCCGGAGATAAAAATTGCTCCGCCACCATCCGCCGCGGGATCTTACCAGTCGCCGTCTTCGGTAGAGACTCCGTCACAAAAATTTTCTTCGGCACTTTGAATGAGGCCAGATTTTTCTTGCAGAAACTCTTCATCTCCTCCACATCAATCTCCGTTCCTTCCCTCGGAATCACCGCACAGTTTATCTGCAATAAAACAATCATTGAATTCTTATATTATTTTCCCATTGTATATTCTCGGCCGCAATTATTTGAGAGGCAATCAAAATTCCTCCAATTTTTTTTTTTCAATTAAATTTGTGTCTAAAATTATTATCCTGATAAACTTCAACAAAACATAACCAAAGTTGGAAATAAACCTAATTTGAGCTAACGCGGTTTGACGAATTAAAATAATAATTTAAAAAATCTCTGATTTGAAAAAAAGAAGACGCTTCATTTTAAAGTAAGATTAATTTAAATGTTATTTTACCTCAATTCAACTAAAAGAAAATTGATTGAAGAAGAACTCAAACCAAAATGTAAGATGTACTAAATTCGTTCGCACAAAAGTTATGTGGTCCATAAATTATATAAATTATATATACAACACATAACTTTTGCATGATTCTAGGAATATTCTGCTATGTCATGATTCTAGTCCATAAAAGAAAAGATTGAAGTACAAATTAATTTTCATTATCTTTTTCTTTTTCCGAATTTTAATTATGGTCATTACCTCCTCGCCGTACTTGTCATCGGGAACGCCGAATGCCACCGCCTGTGCGACACCTGGGTGCGCGAGCAACACGGCATCAACCTCAATCGGAGAAATCTTTTCTCCTGCAAAAATATCAAATAAACCGTCAATCACTGATCAAACGGCAATTATTTAACCACACAAATTAAGTTTCACCTCCCCGGTTGATGAGCTCTTTGATGCGGCCGACGAGGTGAAGATATCCATCCTCGTCCACAAATCCGACATCTCCGGTATGAAACCAACCGTACAAGAAAGCCGCCTGGTTCTCCTCTGGGTTGTTCTTATAACCCTTTGTCACGTTCGGCCCCCGGATGCAGACCTCGCCGGGAAATCCCGGCGGAAGAACCGCTCCCGTCTCGTCGAGAATCGCCAGCTCCTGTCCGACCGGCCGGCCCACAGAGCCCGGTTTGTGCGGACCGTCTTGGGGCAGTGGGTTCGTGCACATGAGGTGCGAGGCCTCCGTCATCGCGTACGCCTCTAATACCGGAGCCATGAATGTAGTCTCGAGTTGTGAGAGAACTGCCGGAGCAAGCGACGCGCTGCAGCTGCGGATGAACCGGAGAGGCGGGTATGGCGCTTCTGATGCTGAGGCATGGCGGTCGAGTAGGATCTGGTGAATGGTGGGAACCGCGGTGTACCAGCTGGCGCCGGCTGCCCGCATGTCGGTCCAGAAAGTGGAGGCGGAGAAGCGACCGATGGCCGGAAGAGCTACGGAAGCGCCGGCTGTGAGAGAGCTGAGAAGCCCTGCAAGGAGACCGTGGACGTGGAAAAGGGGGAGAACGATGAGGGTTGAATCATGTTCCGTTAAGCGGTAAACGGATCGGATGTTCTGGACCGATGCAGCGAGGTTTTGCTGGGTGAGAGGAACCCCTTTTGGCCGACTCGTCGTGCCTGAGGTGTGCAGGAAAAGTGCTACGTCGGAGTGATCGTTGACAACGGAAATCACCGGGGATGAATGACCACCTTCGGTGGCTGTACTGTCCGTTAGGCCTTCGATCTGCACAACGCCGGATGGATCGGGGAGACTTGCTGTGGCGCGGGAGATGCCAAGTTTGGCCGCGGCGTTCACCGCAGCAGCATTCCCCTGTTTATTCGTAACAAGAAGTTTCGATTCTGAGTCGGAAAGATAGAACTCGAACTCCTCCTGCGTGTACGCAGAATTCAGCGGCACGGCCGTCGCACGCGATCGGATAACCGCCAAGAACATGATCACAAACTGCAAACATCGATCGCGATAGACAATTGAAAGAGGTAAATCATTAGTTAATTAATTCTATTGCAAAACTAATTGGTAAAGAAATCAAAGAATAAAATTAAGCATAGAAATACAACCTCGATCGTGTTGGGGAAAGTAATCGCAACAACATCGCCGGGGAGGATACCTGCAGCGATTAGGCGGGATGCGGCAGAGTCGATTAAGTTGTCGAGGCGGGAGTGAGTGATTTCGAGCTTGCCGGGTACCAATAGTGATCGCCGGGATGGGAATTTGGCGGCTGCAAGTTTTAGGGCTCCGGTTAAGGTTTGATCTGCCATGATAGACTGTAATGCGAGGTGGGTAGCAAATGAAAAACCAGAGAAGGAAGAGCTGAGGTCGGTGCAGTTATGGAAGGAGGGTGAATGCCCCTTTTATAGTGAGTCGCGTCTGGAGGAGTTTGTGCCGCGGAGATCGTTACCGGCACGTGTCCATTTATTCATGGCGTAATATATATAAAGGGAAAATGTAGACCACACTCAATCATATTTAAAAAGAATATAACAAAAATAGCCAAAGATAAAATATATATATAATATATATATAGCATTAATATCAAAAAAGAATAAGAACAAATGAAAGGCCTCCTAAGTCCAACAAGACTTTATTCCTAAATCCAACAAGACCAATAAAGTATCTATAACTCCAGAGAGGAACAAAAACTTAATCAGAAGAGCTAATTTTTTATGAAATGCTTCAACATATAGCTTTCAATTTATTCGACATAGAATGTGAAGAAGAGATCCACACATCCTAAAGACGAGATCAACAATAATCCTAAATGAGCATGAATCGAAAGAAAACCTCTATTAAATTTTAATAGCTCTCTAGAATCAACGAAATATGAGGAACAAGAAAGAAAGAACTTACTACAACAAACATAATAGTTGGTGTAAGAAGATAGAAATCTTAAGAGCTCAGCTAATTCTAGTGAAAATGTAGAAGAACTCTTTCCATAAAATTAGGAATGTACATATTTATATATATATATATATATAGCAACCTAAAGTAACTTGACATATCACAATTGGCCCAACAGGCCAACCAAAAGAATAAAGCATATTTCTAATACGGTCGAAATAAAGGAATCCATCTAGTATTGGTAAGCATATCAAAGATCCAAATGTATCTTTGAGATAAATGTACAAGTCAACATGGGTATGCCATAAATTTTTTAAAAACAATTTAGCCCCCAAAGCAAATTATATCTTCGAAAGAACTTACAAGGAAGCAGTCTAATTAGGAATATCATGCTTCAACTTCCTTATGCTGCTCTTATTGACAATCCAATGAATATTCTATAATGTATCTTTAAATAAACGTGTGCCCACACAAACAACACATATTTGATATATCTATAATCTAATGCTCTCAAGCACAACATAAAATAATCTTTTAATGGTAATATTATAAAATAAGTTTAGAGATGTCAAAAAAACAAAAAATAAAAAATAAGTAATGAGTGTATTGTTAATGATTAAGCTAATTCTATATCTCAAAATTAATAGTAGAAGTCCCGCAACCTATATTTTTCATTTTTATCAAATTCTCAATGTTTTGATTGCGTTTTTCATTTTTATCAAATTCTCAATGTTTTGATTGCGGCAAGTGTAAATACATTGGCTTGGTGGATCAAAAAAATCACTTGGATGGTATTTTTGTAAACATCAAAGTTTCGGGTTGTCTGTATGTAAATATTCCCAATATTAAATAACAAAATAAAGAGACCAATAAATTTTTCTCATTGAGATTTAGCAAATTAGCCATCAGAAATTGGCATATTTTTCTATGTCAAATTAGACCCGCTTAACTCATAAGAGTTCTATGAGGGATAAGTCGTCATTTTTTTTTTATTTTTTTTTTTTTGAGCCACCTAAAATATGCAAAATTATTTTTTCAGTTATTTTCTTATTGTTGCCATTGTAGCATTTCTTATTAAATCTCTTTGTGCAGACCAGAATGGCTAAAAATTCATCAACAATGAACGTTTCCAAAATCACTGTTTTCTTTTATTGATGATTACAAATTTTATAATATGGTTCATTTAAGTAAATACATGATGATAGAGTGTTGTACTTAGTCTTAACATTACACGAATATCCAGCACACACAGATGAAAAGAAATCAAAAGAGGAAACATCATGAGTTTTTATGTGAATTGGTTCATTTAAGTAAATACATGATGATAGAGTGTTGTACTTAGTCTTAACATTACACGAATATCCAGCACACACAGATGAAAAGAAATCAAAAGAGGAAACATCATGAGTTTTTATGTGAATTGGTTCATTTAAGTAAATACATGATGATAGAGTGTTGTACTTAGTCTTAACATTACACGAATATCCAGCACACACAGATGAAAAGAAATCAAAAGAGGAAACATCATGAGTTTTTATGTGAATTGGTTCATTTAAGTAAATACATGATGATAGAGTGTTGTACTTAGTCTTAACATTACACGAATATCCAGCACACACAGATGAAAAGAAATCAAAAGAGGAAACATCATGAGTTTTTATGTGAATTGGTTCATTTAAGTAAATACATGATGATAGAGTGTTGTACTTAGTCTTAACATTACACGAATATCCAGCACACACAGATGAAAAGAAATCAAAAGAGGAAACATCATGAGTTTTTATGTGAATTGGTTCATTTAAGTAAATACATGATGATAGAGTGTTGTACTTAGTCTTAACATTACACGAATATCCAGCACACACAGATGAAAAGAAATCAAAAGAGGAAACATCATGAGTTTTTATGTGAATTGGTTCATTTAAGTAAATACATGATGATAGAGTGTTGTACTTAGTCTTAACATTACACGAATATCCAGCACACACAGATGAAAAGAAATCAAAAGAGGAAACATCATGAGTTTTTATGTGAATTGGTTCATTTAAGTAAATACATGATGATAGAGTGTTGTACTTAGTCTTAACATTACACGAATATCCAGCACACACAGATGAAAAGAAATCAAAAGAGGAAACATCATGAGTTTTTATGTGAATTGGTTCATTTAAGTAAATACATGATGATAGAGTGTTGTACTTAGTCTTAACATTACACGAATATCCAGCACACACAGATGAAAAGAAATCAAAAGAGGAAACATCATGAGTTTTTATGTGAATTGGTTCATTTAAGTAAATACATGATGATGGAGTGTTGTACTTAATCTTAACATTGCACGAAGATTTAGCACACACAGATGGAAAGAAATCGAAAGAGGAAACATCATGAGTTTTTATGTGAAAACCCCAAAAGGGAAGAACCACGACGTTTGACTCAATTGAAATGATTCCATTATGTCTGATGCGTGCTAGAAAATTTGCGGCGGTAGAACAATGGATTATCGTCTTAGCGTTGTACGAAAGTTTAGCATACAGCTAGATGAAAGAGAAACAAACGGTGATGACTCCAGAAGTTTTTAAGTAGAAAACCGGTAAGGGAAAAATCACGGGGTCTGACTCAGTTACGGAAATCCAATATTGATTGATGATTACCAAATCTCTTATCCCGTAAACAGGAAATGATATATATATTTTTTAGATTACAATGTCGACTGACGGCGTCTGGTTGGTGGTGATCGATGGTGGTTAGTGGTAGTTGATGACGGTTGATAGAGGTCGACGACGGTCAGCGGAGGTTGACGATGGTCGGCGGTGGTCGACGATGGTCTTCGGCGTTCTGCGGTGGTGTACAGCGGTCGACGGTGGTCAGCGGTGGTCGATAACGAAGGTCGGCGGTGGTTGACGATGATAGGTGGTGATGCTGAGCTGCAGCTTCTCCTCAAGGTCTCAGACTCTCTCTAGACTTCAGCTTCCACTCATGTGAGGGATTGGGGTCTATTTATAGTGTTATGGGTGCAATTTATGCAAGAATATCAACCATTTTAATCGGACGGTCCAGAGAGTTTCCTTCAATCATGTGACGTTTAATGGACATTTGAGTGCCTTAACGATGTCGTCGGAATTGAGTTATCCTGACCTCGTTGGATTTGTCTTGTCGAGAGACTCGATTCGAGTATAGGCTTGCTAGTGTCGACATTTGTTTGACCTTCCAAATGTGTCAAGAAATCTTCTAAGGGTGGTTTAATGATTTGATCTAAGCTTGATTTGACTCGGATTGGACTAGTTTTTATATCATTAGGTTTTCGTCTCATCGAGCCGGTCAGTTTGACTATAAGTTTGCTGAAATCGAAGCTCTTGATAAATTTTTATCAAGATTTGAACTTTTCTTGCTCAAAATATCATCTTGGGATCCGTGTCATGTCTCGAGATTTGTAGCGGATGATGAAAATTTGTTGGTGGCATATCAATGTCAAAATAGGCTATAAAACTTTGCCGACCCTTAACTCGACAGTAGCAAAATTATACAAGTGATGAGACTTCTGCTAGAGGAGCGTCGTAACAAGTCCGGGAAATAGCATCGTTTTAATGACAGTGTTCTGATGACAACTACGGTGGTGGCATTCTGAAGGTGGTGAAGCTAGAACATGATGATAGCCAAACAATGATGACCCGACTACAGCGGCTGCTAGAAGAGCAAAATAGAATGCATATAAATCTCTCAGAAAATGTCTTTCATTGTCAGATTAAAATATATAAAAAATAATAATTTTTAGTGGTTGAACTTCAAGCTCTCTCCGAGAAGGTTCGCGATCTGTCCTCGTATACAGTGACGTTAAAAATCGAACATTCCGTTCACCTCCACGTGTACTTCGTCGGCGAGGTAGCGTGTGGGCGCCGCCTCGGCAGATTCCTGCATCTTTGACGCATGCCACGAACTGCCCTGCCGGTTGTAACCGGCCAGGCCGGTTTGACTTTAGCAGCCCGGTTCCGGTTTTATGCGGTGGAGGTACAGAGGCTCATATCGGCCAGGTAATTTAGCCAAATCAAGACCGTAGAAAATGCCATCGGATGGTTATAAGTGAGAGGAAACACTTAAAGAACGAAAGAGATAGGCATACTATATATTTTAATAATTCATGACTCCCAAGAAATAAATTGTGGCACAAAGAGGGAGAAATAAAGTGCAATTAATAATTAAAAAAAAACTTATATATTGCCTTCTACGTCACCATATTATTTTTGGGTTGATATTTGAGGTTGAGTGGGATGAAATCTATTAATTGCATTATTATCCTATTAATTATATTATTTTGTAATTTATGATGATAGAGTGGTAATTTAATGCCTTAAAGTTATACGAAGATCTTGCACCCATATAATCAAAAGAAACACAAAAATAGGTAAAAAATATGTGGTTTATTCGAGTCAAAATAATCTAATATATGTGTGAAGATACGCTCTTTTCTCACATTAGGAATAAAGAGATTATAATTTTAAAATGAAAATTATACTTATTAATAAATTATAAGTGTTGGGAAATTTGTCAACAGTCGTAGTCTGTCTATAATGATTGCAAGGAGTGGTTGTCGGTGATCGTTGGTCAGCGATGTCAGATGGTGATTGTTGCGGTGGTCTGCGGTGGCTGATGGCTATGGAGGCTGACATTTACTCGTAATTTTTCGCCTCTAGAATAGACTATGGATTTTCATTTTTCATTTCATTATTTACCTCTTCCAAGTAAAGAGAGGGGGTCAATTTATAGCTTTTTAAGAAGAGGCATTTTGGTCTATTGGCGTATAGCTTTCTTAATCGCATGATCGGTTTGTCTATCTCGACCCCCCCTTTTCACGTGTTTTCTTAAAGGGTTGGGTGTGTTGATGATCTCAGAATTAAGCGATCACAGTCTCGTCAAGTTGTTCGATTCAACCATAACTATGTTAAAAGTGAAGTTTATTTGATCATTCAATTGATGAACCAAAGCATCCAATTATGCTTGAATGGTTTGATATGCACTTTATATGATTGAAATTGGACCAATTCTAAAGTCTTTACATTTGTTTTGTTGAGCCGGTCATTATAACTATAAATTTGTTAAAATCAGGGCCCGAACGATCTTTAATTTGATATTATAACATTTACTCGTTTAAAGAAAAACATCATGCTTATGATATAATTTTTAGTGATATAACAATTATATTTATTATATTGAGCCGGTCATTATAACTATAAATTTGTTAAAATGAGGGCCCGAACGATCTTTAATTTGATATTAGAACATTCACTCGTTAAAAAAACATAGATATTCATGCTTATGATATAATTTTTAGTGATATAGCAATTATATTTATTATTTATGTGTTACTATGATTAGTTATATTATTTTTAGAGATTTACACGCATACAAGTCAATGCTTACGTATTTACAAATCTAACAACAAAATTTCAATTTTTACATTTATACCACAAATCTCTCATATGACATCAACAATATCACTACTATTTTCCTTAAAAAATAAAATACACACCTCCAAGCACACGTGAAGTTTTTTAATTACATACATGCCACTTAATTCTTCTGGACTTACAAATCTAACAACCAAACTTCAATTCTCACGTCAAAGGTGTATTTTTGAATTGATAGAAAAAATTTCGTGGTATAAATATAAAAAATAAATTTTAAATGTTAGATATGCAAATAAATGGGAATTGACTGGCATGCATGTAACGGAAAAAAAAAATTACATCAAGACTCCGCACGTAGTGTTACGTGCAGAAACCAATGAAATCACGTAACGTAGAGGTGACAGAAGAAAAAAACGGGCCCAATAACACTGAGGAATATTCTCCCATGTTACTCTGTGTTATTTAAGTGTTATTGTATTTTATTTAGATGTTATTGTGTACTGAAAATATTTTGTATTATAATAACACAATAACACATTAATAACACTTGAATAACACACAATAACACATGAATAACACAATAATATCTGAATAATATAAGAAGAATATTCCCTTATGTTACCGAACATATTTTTTTTTTTTTCTGTCACCGCCACGTGACATGATTTCATTGAGCTCCGCACGTAACTATATGTGTGAAGTCCTGATGCAATATGCCCCTAAAATAAAAAGGGTCATTCAATCTAAATTTTTTTTTTGTCACATCTCATGAATACAATTCACAACTCAAAACCCTCCACCAACCTTTCCCTATAAAATGTAATCACAAGCATAATAAATGAATTAACAATTACATCAAAGAAAATGCAATAAATATTACCACAATTCACAAATGGTTGCAAAAAAAAGGGCAAAAGTCTTATTAAAAGAACCTGAATAATAGGGGGGTCATTTGAAAATACAATTAAAATCACACCCTAAAGTATAAAAATACATGTTACCAACAGCACCAATGCCTTCACTACTGAACCAATCATATCAGGCAGCATATATACAACAACAACAAAGCACAATATTCCCATACCACATTCAATGAATGATGCCATGCAAAATGCCTGAAACTGATAGAATTAGTTCTTCGAAAATCGACTTGACGAACATTCTCGAGAACGAAAAAAGAAAAAAAAAACAACGAATTCTCAAAATCTGAAAGTATGTGTTGTTTATTATGAGTTCAGCGGCCGGAGGCTCCGCTCTTTTTCGTCTCCAAAGATGAGCCTTCTTTGAGCGCCTCTCGAGCGTCGGTCTCCATTCCGAGGGCGAAAAGAGAGGCGGCTTGAAGATAGAACGCAGTCGGCCAAGTTGGAGAGATGACTAAGGCCTGCATCGCGTCATTTAGAGCTTCTTGCGGTTTATCGCTCATCAAGTAAGAGAGACTTCGACGGGCGAACACGGTCGGAGAAACCATGGTTCCGACATCAATGAACTGCGAGAAAGCCGAAGATGTGTGAGAAACCTTATGCTTGGTTTAATTTAATCTTTTTTAAAAATACACACAAAGGTTATATGAGGAAATGTTTTCTAGTCCAAGACTCGTTGGGGGTAATATACATGTTCAATAACACTATATAGGCTCAAACCAAGAGAAAAGTTAATATATAATAATTGAAAATGTTTTCAAAATGACCATCAAAAAGTTTTAAGAAAAAAAAGGTGGCATTTACATGCACAACCACCCAATTCTGTTGCATTTACATATCTAACACTTAAAATTTACCTTTTTTTACATTTATATCACCTAAATCTTTCATATTATATAAAAAATATCACTATTTTTAACTTTAAAAAAGTGAAATACACCTCCTTCATGCATCAATGTGAAGGTTGAAGTTTAGGTTTAGATATGTAAATACGTAGTAATTGAATGGTACGCACGTAAATCTTCCAAAAAAGTCCTAGGAAATTAGTTTAAAAAATTCGAGAAAAATAAAAATGTTTACCTGACTATAGCACTCTATAGCAGTATTTAAATCCTTGACCCGGAAAGCAGTATCACCCTTCTTCTTTGAGTTCAAAGTCTCTTGCATTTGATTTGTCCACATTTGAAAGGATAGCTGAAAGGGAGAATTATAAGAATAAAAAACATATAGGTAGTTCTTTCAATGTGCAAGCAATCAAAATAGAGGCATTTACATGCATACCCCCACACAATTCTTATATATTTACATATCAAACCCCTAAACTTTCACATTTACATGCGTATCACTCAAAGGTTTAATATCACATAAAAATACCACAATTTAGAAGTAAAATATCCCTTCCAAGCATAGGTTTATGACACCGAAATGTTATAAACATAAATATCAAACTTTAAATATCAGATATGCAAATACAAAAACTTGTGCGGTATTGTCTGCAAATTCCCAAAAAAATATAATTGCATAAAGTCAAATCATAACTAGCAATGAGGGAAAAACTTTAATATTGAAAAAAGAATCAAAGATGAAATTTCAATATGAAATGAAAAACAAATATTATGTCAAATAAAAAGCTACAATATATAAAAGACAAATAACAGAAATAAATGTCAAAGCCAAAATTATGAAGAAATAAAAAATAGAAAACCTCATTAGCTGTTCCTTCATCATCTTTGTACCCAATCTTTTCCAGTATCTCATGTATGGCGGTCAGATCCATTCGAAGGCAAGCTTCGCCAAGCGGAGAAAGTGATATAGACTCGACAGATGATGCATCTCCATGGGGCATATCCATCAAAACATACGAAGGAACCTAAATCATGTTTTTTAATACAATAAGTTTAGGAAGACTAAGCTGCGTTGATAATTTACGCAAAAATGAGCCATCAAATGCACAGCTACAACACAAGGTTAGAAGCGCAAATTGATAAAATTAAAGGAGCTAATCAAAATGAGAACATAAATTGAATAATAAATATTATCCAAAATGATTTCCAATGATAATATTTTCAGGTTAATCCAGAGGTAGTTGGCTCCAACTTTATCAACTCTGCGTTTTCCATTATCTCCCACATTGTTTCTCTTTTAGGTTCCTAATTGGGTGGGGATAAAACTGAATGTCTAAAGGCTAGGGAAAAAGCTTAAATCAGTTGGTACTAATTGTTCTTTTGTCAGAAAGAAGATTAGAGATACTTATTTCAAAAATCAACCAACATTAAATTTTTTGCTATGTGAGACTTCCAATTGTTCCAATCTCATCAAAGAAAAAAATTTGATGGGTCTTTGTTCATTAACTTAAAGTTGGAGGTTAACAGAGGCACAGTTCTAAACTTTTAAAAAAATCAGTGGATACAAAAGGTTACTGCAATCATACCTTAATATACATAAAAAGTGTATTTCATTTCATACAACCTAACGACAAGGGTGTTTTTGATATTAAAGATTTGAGAGTAATATAAATAAATATGGAAATTTAAGTGTTTAATAAATAAATGTATAAGAATTTTATTATGTATGTAAATACACCTTCAAAACTTATTTCCGCCAATCAAACTAAAATTGATGTTTTTTTTTTTTAATTTAGTTTCTTGGCATACAAATTCATAGAGAAACACTAAAGGGAAAAGAAAAAGAGAAATTACATCAACATTTCAATAAATTTGTTAAAAAATAAAGCTATAAAAGAAATTAAATTTTAAAGGTCGAATATGAGAAAACAAAAATCTCCACCAGTAGTAATCAAACTCATTTGGTGTAATTTTCAAAAAAAGTTGTTTGTCAATTAAGCATGACATATTTTTGTGATTCTACTTTTTTTATTCTCTTCATCATTGAATTATATCCAACTAGGTTTATAAATTATTATTAGCATCTCTTATACCATACATTGGCATACTAGCATCTTTTTTTTCCGCGCACACAACCAAACTCAGGCACACCACATATACAAGGCCTTTAAACCTAGACCTCTTGATTGAAAGACAACACTCTCAACTAGGCCACGGTGGCTTGCATACTATCAGTTTAATTACTTGTTTCATATCATTTGCCTAGATTGATCAAGTGATTCATAATAAATTAACAATTACCTATGAAAACTATAAACTGTTGTTTGAACAAGAGATCAGTGGAACTCAAACCAAAAAATAGACTAATTGTGCGGCTAAATCCAAATAAATTTTTCATAGGAGCCTCAAAGAACTTGGTAGCAAAACAAGTAGAACAATATAATTTTTTATAATCTATTAGAACTAACTCTTACAAACTAAAACTTCTAGGAAGTCCTGGTTTATGTCCTCTCTTCAATTTATCTCATTTGTCTTTATTTCATAAACTGATAGTTCCTTGGATTCTCATCTCTTTCCCTCTCCTCCATAACAATTCACATGCAAAACTTTTTGTTTTTTATTTTATTTTGAAAACATGTTACTTTAGGTTTTAAAACTAAATTAGCTTGTTTTTAAAAACACTCAAAACGCTTAAAATAACTTTTAAGTGTTTTTAAAAACTGCTAAACAAGTTTCATTTTAAGTAAAAACATAGATAAAAAAACAAAAACAAAAACCAAAAGTCACCCCAAACTGCCCCAACAGTGCTGTTTAAAATCACCCTTGGCTTTTGTTTTCTCTCTTTTGTTTTTGCTTTGTTTCATTTTGTTTATATTTTAATTTGAAACAAAATATATTTGGTATTTTTAATTAAAAGATCGTTATTTTTTAAAACACTCAAAACACCTAAAAGTTATTTCGAGTATTTTCAAAAACATATTTATTTAAAAAAAACAGAATAAAAATATATTAAAAACACACTAAACAAACATTTTTTTAAAAACAAAGAAAAAAATAAAATAGAAAATAAAAAATAAAAATGATCCCAAAAGGAAATAAATTATATGTTGGGATTACTTCCAGTACTGATTTTAGGCTACTACAGCATCTTATGAATTGGAAAAATTTATTGTCAACAAATTAACAATGAGTTTACTCTTCAGGGACTATCAATGATATGCTTTAAATAACCTAGAGAAAGTTGCAAAAAAAAATAAAGGTTTAATTGATTTAGAAATTTTGACAAGACACAATCACTAAGTGTTGTTAATAAGTATTTAAAAACTGGAGGTACATGTTAATTTGTGGAGGTCAAATTTTACTCTGCAATGTAAGAAAAATTTTCAGAAAGCATGCCTGGGTAAACATAAAATCATCTTAATATTCTTCTAAAAAATAGAGATCTAATATTATATTGTTAGAATCAAAGCCTCAAAGAAAACTTTAAATGAAGTTTTTTTACAATTAGCTTCACAAAGCAAGAAAAGTCCCTAGCTTGAAGAGAAATCGGATATCTTCACCAATACAACTGACGAAAATAAGATGTTTTTTTAAAAAATAAGAAGTTCGATAGAGATTGAGTTTGATGTAAAATTAAAGTGTTTGAAATCCAAAAATGTAGAGGCTGATTTCAGTGACTAAAATAGAAAAGAATATATATAGAGAGGATGGTTTAAGACTACTCCAATATGATGGAATAGATAAGCACGTTAACAAGACTTTAAATAAAATAGTTAGAAGTACTACAGCACCTGTACAATTGCCCAAGACTTTGTGAGCAAAAGCTATGAGCACTAGAATTTACCTGATTAACAAAGTATACTCGATTCGGTTATGTATTAAATAGTCTAAAGAAGATTAAAATTCTCTAAAGCATAAGCATTTCTTAATTATACACTTTAATTATCCTTTTAACATTCACGTAGATTCATTTGATAAAGACAAGTTAAGACCAAAAATCTCTAAAATGTTATTACATTGGATATGGAGATGATTTTTGCCATAAATTTTTGGAAGTTCAAATTTTCAGAAGATGGATTAGATTTTGAATAAGACACTACCAAATTATTTTTTTATTATTTTGAAAGAACATTAAAATTTGATTTCAGATTTCTCATAGATGCAAATTACTATAGCTTTCCAATCATAAGATAAAACCTAAGATTAAAACTAATCATTAAGCACTAATTACATAGCATATAGTAGCATCAATTTTTATTTTAAACTAAAACATTAGAAGCCATTAACTTAGAGCAGGTTGTGAGAAAGATGATAACAAATTTTGCCATCCCGAGCTACTGCTGACCCTAGTCTACCTAATCAAAGGAGGTACCGAGAACCGAACCTAACCTAAGTCATTTTCAATAGTCATTGGTTGCTTCGTCTAAGAAGGCCTTGTAGACATTGGTTGAATGCTAATATAAAATGATAATTTTAAGTTGACCATAGCTAGCAACGAATTTTGCGCCCTATTAAGTGCACTCCATGATTCACCACTCTAGAGATATATCATTCAGGAACCTGTATGCTTTGACCATAAATATATACTTAATATAGCATTGGCTCTTGAGAAATTAATGTTAAATTTGTAACATTTGACAAATTGTTATAGATGATGAATTGATTGTTGCTCTTTAGCTTTGAAAGGATCAATTTTACTTGAATGTTCCAAATTTTTTGTTTTTTTATAATTTCTTTGTATTCTTATTCAAACTTAAGTCCAAAAAATAATTTTCATCCAGATTTAGGACATTTTGAAAATAAGGTCCCCTATGTTTGAAGTTTTCTATCAACGCAACCATTATAAGGGTAAATTGATGTTTGAGCATTTATATTTAAAAATGAAAAGGTTCGATAATAAACCCTTCTGGTTAGGATGTGCAATAACCAAAACCGATATAAGGGTATAACGTTTGAACTTGATTGATTTGAAACTTGTTGACCTCTTGCTTGAAAATGATTAGATCCAGTGATTAACATTATTTATTCATTCAAATATCCATTGCATCATAGATCCTGTCAAAATTATCCCATATGTAAAGGAATGGGTTTAAGAGATTAGAACTTTCAAATTATATTGCAGAAAAAAAAATATGCATTTTTGAAAAATGAAATTCTTTGTTACAAAAGCATTGAATGTTGTATGAAAATGAAGAAAAAAAGGTGAAATATAAGTGTTTGATTCCCAATATGCAATAATATTAGTTAATTGGATGAAATTCATTAGCTGAATGTTACAAAGACGCATCAACCGCATTTAACTCCAATCCACGTAAGAAGAATTAATTGCTAAATAGGATTTACAGCACTTCTTTGTAGGTAGGGTGACTAATTTGAAAGCATACAAACAAAGTGAGGAGTTGGAGTTTTTCTTTTGAGAAAGATCCTGTGAATTTTCAAAATGGTTTCATACTTTTCGTGCAATTGCACATTTCTCGATATGAGACATTTAAATTTTATCCTTTCTTTTATCACATGGAGTATTCTGTCAATAAGCCTTAGTACTTCACATTTGTCGAAGCACATACAATCATATATTTATTTTAGTGTGTGTTGCATTCTAATCTTAAGGTTAAGCATTAATGCATTCATCAAAAAATGTGTGCAGCTTTATCTTTTAGAGGTTTGATATGCACTTCAAAAGATATGCATATGATAATTTTGAAAATTTATCATGACTATTTGATGTTGGTGCGTCTCTTTTTATGCTTGCCAGAAATTGAATTTGATGGTTGGCACATAGCTTTTATTTCTTTTTTTTAACAAAAAAAAAAATCTCTGTTTTCTGCCATGAAATCAAAAGGAGGAAGAGAGAGTAAAGAAATGGAGAGAGATTGAGTTAGAGTGAGAGTGATCTAAAAGGGGAGATTAAGAGAGTGAAACATAGAGAGAGAAAGAGAGGTGAAGATTGAGTGGTTTGTCTATCACCTGAGTTGGAGATTGAGTGGTGACTAAACGGGGTAAATTCATGAGTAACATGAAGGTT